CATGAGTAACTTGATAAATTTTAAACTCAAGACTATGCCAGTAAGTTCTTAGTGAATACAAATTAATTTGTAGCTGTAATTTACACAAGGAACAATGGACAAAAGCACAGTTTTTATAATGAATAAATTTATAATTTATCAAGTCCTGATAATGCTGTTAACTACTACTGTAACCATGGGCAAATCATATGAACTCTTATTTTACGTTTTGTAAAATGATGAATTTGGACTAGATTGCTTTTAAGGTCCCTTCCAAGTTGTGAAATCCTGCTTTATAATAATAATTAAAAAAACAGATATGCTATTAAAAATTGTATTCAAAACAAAATAAAAATTGTATCTGGGCTGCCTGTTAGATTCACCATTGTGTGTTCTAGTTCTGGATAAAAGAGAGTAAGCATATTCTATCCTCTCTCTCCCACCGATTACAAGTAAAAACCATCCACGTGATAAAGCAACAATCTGCGACTTCTGAAAGCAATAGCAGACACACAGGGGAAGGAAATCAGAACTTGAAGAATGAGTTTCCTGGTTGAAAAAACCTCTCTTATTTCCAGGCCTAGACTTGAAGACAGCTCAATCACAAAAATGTGAGCATGGACAGAAAAAGCTCTGAGACCTTCTGGTCAGAGGATAAGGAAGGGGGACCCTGTGGGATGGAGAATGTTGGGGGGAATGCTATCTTCTTAATTTTTCATTTTGCTCCTCTGCCCTTTATCAAAAGATAAGCCTCAGTCATGAAAAGGCATTCCTGTAGTGGTAGCAGCTGGGCAGGCACCTACAATCCAAGAGAAAATCCTTCTCCCTGATCAGAAGGAAGGAGAACAGGTACCTCTATGATTCAAAAAGTGTAATTTTCTCTCTTTTCTTTGCTACTCAGCACCAGAAATGGACCTAGCTGCAGAAATTATGTAACAACACAGGGGTCAAAATCCTGGTTTTCTAGTCAGAGTACCCCCCCCCCCAAAAAGAAATGAAAAGAAAAGACGTGGCCCTTGGGAGTCACAAAGTATGGAAGAGATCATGGAAAGAAGGAAAATGGAGAGAGGAACACCCGAATTTTGTGTATGAACTCCCAGGCTCATCCTTGAATGATACATTTATGGAAGGACAGCAAAGTATAGGCTTTGAGAACTCAACTATGGTTCAGAACTTCGCTCAGGTTCCAGACTTGCCCCTATTTGACATACATGTGAGAGAGACCTGATTAATAATGCAAAGGCTTTAAAAACTAAACTGAATTGGAATCACAGCCACAGAAGACAGACTGTGACTTGTGAACTGAATTTAACTGAGTTGATTGCCTACAACACCAAAAATCTCAAGAGGATTCAAAATGCAAAAATTCAAAAATCAAAGTTCTCTAGAGGATTTTTAATAAGATCCAAAATCTCATACATAATATTCAAAATACCCAGGGTACATTCTAAAATTACTAGAGATACAAAAACCAGGAACATCTCAAAGATCATCGAAAAAGACAACCAAGATATGCCAAACTCAAGATTACCCAGGTGGTAGAATAATCAAAGACTTTAAGCCAGCTACTATTAACCGTACTCCATGATGTAGGACAGACTTGAAATGAATGGAAAAACAAATTTTCAGCAGAGAACTAATCAGTATAGAAAGATCCAAAAGGAAACTACAGTACTGAAAAATGTGCCTGAAATAAAAATTTCAGTGCATGGGCTTCATAGCAGAATGAAGAAATAAAGAATGAGGAGTCAGTGAA